TTCGGAACGAATGTCTGCATGTGGACTATTTCTGCTTGAGTATATGTGATACTTTTTAGAAACCATTGGATTCTACCCCAGGAAACTCTCCGACACTACAACAATCAACAAGTAAGCCTTGCTATCGTACATACACAATAATGTTTTATTAAAATCAATAAAATAAACATTAAAATGCTATACTACAAAATATTTTAAACTTGACGCAGTGTCTTGTGGCAAAGAAGAAATGCAAACTTTCCCCCTTCGTACATGCATATAAAAAGGCTGATTTCCTTGCGCCATATACGTTTCTATATAAGCCCGTTTTCCACTAGCGATATTTTTTGCGCGATGCGACTTAATTTCTTTGTATTTATCAGTTTGTTGCAGATGGTTGCACTTGAGAGCTCTGGGACAAAAGTAGAATGTCGATTTGCACGAAAAATATCGCAAGTGGAAAACCGGCTTGAATGAGCGAAATCGTATTTAACCTCATCTTTTAACGACTCCTTTAGCATGTTCTCATGTGGACTGGTCGCAAAGTTTTGACATTCGGGGCTGGTCGAACTGTGGCGAAGAAAATCTCTTCATCACGGGATTTTATCGAGGTCCTCCGAACAGCGACGGCGATCCCATCACTTTACTTGAAAAAGCAAAATGTTGTAAAGCGATTCCTAAAGCGAGTTGCAAAGCGTGCAGCGGTCAAAATAGCCAGTGTCAAAGAGCTAACTGGTGGTTCTCTTTCGACAGGTTAGTATTTAGCTTTTTATGTGATTCAACAATGGTATAAAATGGTAACTTTTACCGGTACAAATAATTGTTAATGGACGATACTCAGTTTTGGGTTCAATGTCCACGGCAACATAGCCAGAATACTATTATTGTCTTTAACAAAGCGAGTCTTAATGACAAACTCATCATTTTCTTGCCAAGCCCGGCAATTGCGCCCAGTATTGTTTATTAACCAAGTCTGAACTTTTGTGTTCGATCCGTTCATGATAATATAACAATGGAGCTATATACTATAGTGAATCACACGGGTAAAATTAATATCCATGTGACTCCATCGGACATGATTCTCAAATCTCAATCGAATTTCGAAGGCGAAGGACTGATTCAAATAACATAATCATATGAAACACATGCAGCTGACGAGGACTTTAATTTGTGAACATTTTTATTTCCATTATGTGAAGGAATAACAATTGGAATGTTTGTCCAGTGGGTTACTTTCTGAATGGGTTATATCGCACTGCTGGTGGCCACGTTTTGCATGAAATCGAAGAAGGTTATTGCTGCAAACCAAGCAATCATCCTGACCAGTATGGATCGTGTTATGATGAAGATGTTGGATCATCGTTTAATCAAGGAGGATGGTCAAACTGTTCCAAGGCTGGTTATTACATCACTGGTCTTTATCGTGGATCTGGTGATAATTGGCTGAACAACATCGATAAATTTCGATGCTGTCAAATCGCTTAATAGCATCAACGCTGCTTTTTATATATATCTACCTCGATAACTTTCATTTAAAATGTTGAAAAAAGTGTAGACGAAATTTGTTTGTGGTTCATTTAGCCAGATGTTGCGCGTCTATATGTCATGAAATTGTAACTACGTATTTCAGGGAGCATTGTAGATTATTAAGAAGTTAAGCTATAATATCACTATATAAACTTTCATAATTTGTTTTCGTCAAAAGATTTAGATCAACAATCTGTATATAGCTAGTTATAGAATGGACGCGCTAGATCACTTTAAGGAAAATCATGATTTGATACTGAATACGATATGTAATTTATATACGATGTGATTTATTAGACACCCGATTCTAATCTGCACGATATTATCCAATTATACCATTTTTATCCAAATATAACTTTATAACTTATGGCACAAACGTAATAGCTATAAGGATCTATTTAACTGTATCACAGTTAATGCACGCGTGAGGCAGCAGTGTAGCTTTATAGAAGCGGTAAAATTTATAGGTGGAAAGATTCAAGGTAAAAAAGTGAAAATCAAGCCCCTATACGACTGGAAATAACGTCATGGAAACGTTATGAGAAGTTTAAGATCTCCCACTCAATGAGTTTGAGTGTGAGTGAGCTTTTAGAATACAGGCGTATATGTGATAAAATTGTAACTACGTATTTCAGGGAGCATTGTAGATTATTGAGAAGTTAAGCTATAATATCACCATATATAAATTTTCATAATTTGTTTTCGTCAAAAGACTTAGGTCAAGAATCTGTATAGCTAGTTACAGAATGGACGCGCTAGATCGTTTTAAGGAAAATCGTGATTTGATACTGAATACGAAAGGTGATATGAATACGATGTGATTTATTAGACACCCGATTCTAATCTGCACGATATTACCAATTATACCATTTTTACCCAAATATAACTTTATGATAATCGTAACTTTTTACATATGGCACAAACGTAATAGCTATAAGCATTTATCTATAACTGTATCACAGTTAACGCACGCGTGAGGAAGCAGTGTAGCTTTATAGAAGTGGTAAAATTTATAGTTACCGTAGCTACTGCATGTATGCACACTTATATAGTCTTATATAAACCCACTCAAGCTGTTTAATGTATCACTAAATTATTTAATAAAACTTTCTTTTAACGCTTTCTTAATTGTTTCATTTTCCTGAACTGATCATTAGCGAGGTTCAGATTTGACTACCACTACGACTACCACAACCTTTGAGGGAATATAAACCAATCAAATGTGATAGGTCTATCAGACTAACCAATCACGAGCTTAATAGATTAGCGAGAGATAGCGATAGTGGAAGCCAAATCTGAACCTCGCTATCATATCGATCTGCACGTTTTCATTACTGGGAGGTTTGGCTTTCACAGTTAACGAAACCCGTTTTCCACTCACGGATTTTGCCGCCGCTACATCTCTAAATAGTATATTTCTTTATCACAACAAATGCGAAGTAAAGAACGACTTTAAGGATTTACATGAACGTATATATATGTATGTATATGAATTGTACGTGAATGTGTGATTTAGCTGGTATTTTTGCAATGGGCGCCACCTATAGCTACCATACATGCACAACTTGAACTATGATCGCATGCTCTTCAAATTAAAATCACTGATAATATTACGAAATTGGACCTGCTGATTTGCCGGCATGTACTTGTAAGTTTGAGCTTTCTTTTCGTGTGGTTTTTAAGGTAAAATAAATGGATCCCCTTTTCAGCCCACGCTGCCCTAAACTGTTAACGGCGCTTCTGGTATTTGCAGGTGATTTATCATATAAAGTACTAATCTAAGTTTTTTAAATTGGAACGACGAAGTGCGTGGAAGTAACAAGAGAGGAACTTAAATGTTTCAATTTTTGTCGTGAAAATTAAACTCAAAACATTTTGTCGCTAAGAATGAGCCGTTATTTGTATTCCTTCAACAAAGCACATCACTGCTCGTATGACCCTCTACCAAATTATGTTTCTCAGTGTCGCGCTACTTCTGATGTATTGAAAAAAGTAACGGTGGATGATTATGCGAAATCGCGTACATTGTTAAAATGTGTACAAATGAAATCAGACAAAACTCCTAAAAACCATAACCGTTTATTATTACCACGAAATCGGATGAACTGAATGTTAGTCTCTCTTGAGACCGCATATATTCAGGGTTATATATTTATATTCAAATATGTTCACACCTATATTCAAAACATTAAAATTATCCCAACAAAAATCTGTCCTGCGGTAAGCGAGACCATACGAATTTCTCCTAAACTATAAAGTAAAAAATACGGAATACAACCTGAGCGGCAGCCATAGCAATCATACTGTCAATTTCATATTATTTTGACCATCCAAACCATAGTTATCCTGCAGGTAACGGAAAGGATGATGGCCCAAATTTAGAGTTTTAATTCGCTTCGCTGCTTCTGTCGTTGTCGACCCAATTTTCAATGTACTTCAAGCACTCATTCCTTTGTCGTCCAGCATAATAATAAATTGTTCACACAGTTAGTTGGCACAAAACTTTAAAAATTCGGCGATACCAAGATCAACCTTGTTACAGTTCAGCGTTGGCAGTGCCTCAAACGAACCTTTAACTCTGTTTAATCGTCTATTGCTCGCACTTCGATGCGCTGACCATGAAAGTCTAGCAGAGACAAAGCCTGACGCACACTGGTGACTTCGCACTCACACAGTCATGTAACCCCCCCCCCTCAAATTGTGCGTCATTATTTAACACAACCATTTTTTTCTTGGTTTAAAACAAAGGAATCAAAGGGTATCCATAGGTTACTGAATAAATAAGCCAAACATTGTTATTAGCTGCCCTTAGGTTCCTTTGTTTTAAACAAAGAAAACAAATGTTATGTCAAAAAATTTGGCTTATTACTCCGGCGTCAGCGACGGAGTTGAAAATTCGCCTCGGTTTTTTTTTGTTTTTGTTTTTTTTATTATTTTTCGTCGTCGCAAGTCTGTAATGGCGCGAAACATTCTAGTATTTAAAATGTGTATGTGATTGGATTTATCTATGTCCCAGTCTTGTCTCCCAAGAGTTGTGGTGCACAGCTTTGGCTAATTTTCCGATGCGCGATTCGATTTCGCTCGCATGATACGGCAATTCCTCCAAGAGCAACAAATAAACCGTTCTTTTCATGCTTTTCGACTAAGTTTAGATTGAATTGGGGTAAGAATATAGTTAATACATGTAGATTTTGGTCCTATTTTAATAATATCGCTGCTATTTCGCCGTTTAACAAGATGATGTGCTCGTGTATGGGCGCGTTGACACGTCGTAGTTTATAAGCGCGAATTCCAAAGGCAAAGTGTAAGACAAAGTGAATGTATACATTCGCTGTCATGCGGTTTATTTACATGTTTGAACAATTGAACTTCTATTCTTTTTAAAGTACGATGTGCTTCTGAATTTCGCGATCGAACATTTATAGGTTCGCAAGGCATCTAAATGCGAATATGAAATATTATGAACTGTATTGTTTATGTTCAGAAGCTCTATATTAAAGACTGGCACGAGCGCCGGAGTTAACGCCAGAACAGGCGTCTTGTTTATTCATAAAATCTACAAACTCGGTATCCCATAGCAATATTTAGGCCCAGGTTATACGTCGCATTTTGGTCGCGTCGAATGCAATATAACAATAGATGAGATGATAAACAACATTAAGCTTTCTGTCCATTGTTGGAATTGCTTTCGACTCGACCAAACCGCGACGTATAAAGAAAGCCCGACGCGGGCTTTCTCACGAAAACCATCCGCACACGATAGAAAGTAATAGACAGTTTCGAAATGTATGTACAAGAAAACATCGGTGCATTATAAAAAGCACATGGTCACACGAGTCGTGTGCGGCGACCATGTATGAATATTTTATAATCAAAGCTGCTCAAATCTTGTTAATTTGCCCCTTCCAGGAATAATTTTGGTAACTATTAATATCAGGTGGGGCTGTTTTATGTGCATTCGACCGAACCCAGTATAAAAATTACAAAATCTGGACACCCTGCACACGAGAGCTATCAGTTGAGACCTCGCGAGAGAAACTTGCCACTTGAGCCGAATTTCTTACGAAAACCATCCGCACACGATAGAAATTAGTGGACAGTTTTCGAAATGTATGTACAAGAAAACATCGGTGCATTATAGAAAGCACAAGAGTTTCGTAGTTGCCAAATTTACATCTCTCAAAAGTGGAATTGGATTGCAAGTTGCAAAACATTGCATCGTGTAACAGGGCCTTCAACCTCATAACGGCTGGCCTAGACGATTCCATTTGCTATCAATAGACCATCATAATCGCTTTTCCATTTGAGATCTCGTCAGGATCATTGCTCTATATTCGCTAAGGAAACTGGCCTCTTCTTCCAAAGTAAGATCCAAATGAGATTCTTCGCTTTCGGCCTTAAAAGCCTGGCTGACTTCTTTCAGAGCATTTTGAATTTCTTCTGAGTCATCATCACTGTCCGACATTGAGTGACTTGGCCCATCTGTGGAAGATGAAACATTTAGCTAAGACTAGTTTCCATTTAATCGTAATTGTTGTAGGTATGTCAACGTGGTGGATGTAATAGAATATTGCAACATGCATGCAGTCAGCATTGACCGATTTGAATGCAGAACTAAATCTAATTTAACTAATTTAAATCCGGGCTAGTTCCCTTCAGTCAAAATGACTTGTTAAACGGTAGCTACGACTTAATGGAGATCAGGCATTAGTTACTAGTACTTAACACATGGTTCTGTTAAATACTATACTCTAATTGTTATGATCTCATATATGTAACTGGATGACCATGAAGTATATTTCGACATTTTTACGCAATGAGGGACGAGAGAAATGAAGTATATTGTACAACAAAATAGAAAGTAATGTACCAAGATTTGAAGGGTGTTGAACTGTAGTGTCTGTTTGTTGGCATTCAGGGGGGAGTGATCCGCCTGTTTCCAACAATCGTTCAATGGCTTTAGTAACGTCTCCATAGTGTTTTAACACCGACCGTGAAATATCCACATCGAAGCCCATCGACGTAACCTATTTTGAGAAATTTTGGGTAATTTAATATTTTGACTATTTTTTAATTGTCCGGTCAGAAATGTGTAACTAAATTAGTCATTCATTTACAGACGTAATACAAAAGTACACAAAATTTGCTAATTCCCATATTTTCCGTACTTTGCAACATTTCCCAGCCAAACATGGCAATTTTAACTAATTTTGTATACTCGTTCCGGTAATTTCCTTTAATATGTGTCGATGAGTATCGAAAGTTTTACCTGGACTATTAAGTCATCTGAGACTTCTAGAGAGCTACAGAGAATAAAAATAACATCCTTGAGGAAAGCGTTAAGTTTGCTTGAAAATGTGGTTATTAGGTTAAAATGGATCTTCATGTGTATGCAAAATAGAGAGTTTTTTTTAAAAAGAAACACTAGACACGAATTTGTGTACTATAATGAAAATATTCAAATATTATATATTAAAAAGAAACACTAGATACGAACTTAATTTCTGTTCAGGCAAATGGTCGGGGTGCGTGTTAGGTAAATGTGTTTGATCACAGCTAATATAGAATATACATGGTTTGGAGACCACATAAAACTAAAATACAACCCATTAACTATGTTGAGGTAGATTTATGCAAAAAATTGTTCCTGTCTCATCACATGTCTATTGTATTTTGCACAGACAAACCAATAGCAATCTTACACTTAACATATTTTTCAAGTCAAGGTTGATGAGCTTAGGAAGACGAATGCCATTGGTAAATTTGGCTCAAATACAATAGACACGTGACGAGAAAGGAACCATTTTTTGCATAAACCTGGACAATAACATAGTTAATGAGTTGTATTGTACTTTTATTTAGTCTCCAAACCATGTATATTCATCATTTATGATCCACAATTCCTTCGGGGGTTGACCCTTTTTTACTTTATTGCTTTGGGAAAATAATCCTTGAAGACCAACCTTCCACGAGAAGCGAACCGTAGCAGTTCAGGACTTTCGTTTAGCATCTAAATTAAATGTTATTTCGACACGTTTAGCGCTGAAATGCATTATAAATTTTTGAAAAAGACCTATGCTATAATATTTACCATTATATATACGTATATTTACCACTTTCTGATGCAGATAACGTTTACAAAATACTTTTAAGGCCAATTCAATGTGCGATCAAGTTGTATAACTATACGATTATCATTCTGACGAATGGAAGCGGGTTTCCATGCCACACTCATGCTCATTTTGTTGATGACGAAAGTTGAAATCACTGGTTGAAATGTGTCATTTGTACGCGTTTTACTCGTTCACATACGTCAGGGTAAGAACCGTATATCGATTAGCAGCATTTTGTAAATTGACCTCAACGTTGATAACACTGCAAAAATACAACCTGAAGAGCGGCGTCCATGTCATTGTTTGCCTGACAAAGAGCTTCTTTTGCGATGTGATGAGGGTATCCCATTTCACGTAAATTATTGTAAATATCAACGCTGACCCTGAAAAAGGAGACAAAAATAAGATTAGTTTAAAGTTTGGGCGTAGTCGGAGGAAACGAAAATAATGGGAATAATATAAAGGGTACAATTTAAATCTACGGCTAAAAATTATCGCTGACCGACTAAAATATAAAAAGATGTTGAGGCCCACCGCAATCAAAAGCCATTAGCTGAGCTAAAGACCTCGCGAGGTTGTTAGCTGAGAACGTTTCTCTCATGCGCGGACTCTCGCGAGGATGTCAGCTCAGCTGATAGCTCTCGTGTGCGACGGGCTTAAGAAAAAAGCGGTTTACCATTCCCCTTTTGCAGTTTTCCCCAGTTTCCTGGCAAATTTTTGCTGCTTTCTTTTCTCTCTTCTTTCTTTTAACTGTTTTTCGTTTTCCTGAAAACCGAATAAAATCCGAGCGAAGATATTAGTTCAAGCACAGATGTTGAAAAACACTGTGGTAATAGCTACAATGTTCGGAACCTATAGGAATATAATCCAAACTTTAACCCCAAACTGACCCTAATCCTTACCTAAATCCTAACCGCAAAGGATATTGGAGTCGAAGCATGGAATTATTAACGATGAAAGGACATGTAATTGAAAACGGTTTAAGTTATAGTCAGCCGTTTCATCAACAGTGGAGTCCTGGTGCAATATTAGTAAAGCCTGATTCTCATTTTTTTTTCTCATTGGGCGCCGACAATCGGCAATGAAGATTGCTGGTGATCGATGCATGAAAAAAAAAAGTGCTTTGCATTTTGAATAAGTTATCCTCGTCACATGCCACCAAGAATAGCTACATCGCCGAGTGTTGGTGATTAAGGAGACCAAATTTAGGAGGCATGTGTGCTAAATCACCGCGTACGAACTTTATGCCATCAAGCAAAAGCAATACCTCGCGTTTTCTTGATATATATCCAACGGCCATCGTTATATCCCCATTGCAAGATCTCAATGCTAGTCTCGACTCAGAAGCACCAAATCCCATAGAAATCACTAAAGAGCACATATGAATAACAGTAATGAAAAACGAGCATAAAATAATTTTTCATCTTCAAAAGATAGTGCAAACATTCACAACAGCTGCCAAACCAATTGAGCATACAAGAATATCACTTTTTATTTGCCAGCTTTCTATAAAAGAATGAAACATCATGATTCTCACTTTGCGACAAAGTTGCGTCATCCACTTTAAGGCTGTCAATTTCTTTTTCTACCTAAAGTAGAATAGATATAATACGAAAATGTAACGTTCGCCAGATCGATAATTACGAATGAAACGATGAGATCGAGTCATGTATATGAGCTGATAGTATATATGACGAGAGCGAATGGTATATAATTGTTTTACAAAGCCAGACCTTTGTGATAATAAACTACTGAGCTGATGATGTGTAGTAACTAGCTCAGCCAATCAGATTGCACAACAGCTCATGGAAGGTGAGGGCGAGTAACTGCAGTATATTATAATTCCCTATAATTATATAACATCGTTTGCTCATAATATAGATAGATAGATAGAATGACTTTATTTCAACAGGGTAGCCCATTCAGCCAAAGCTGGTATCCAGAGGGGCCCTGCAATGTATATTTATATTGGTATAAATCATTTAACCTTATTAAGAAGGTGGGATGCTCGTGTTGTTTCTGCTTTGTGAAAGGCGCAAATCGCTTGGAGAAGATTAAGACGAACATACAGAACTTTCTCCTTGGTTGAACTGCCCTAAAACAATTTCACAAGTTTAATACAGTAAACAAAGATATAATAAACGCATTTTTACGCGAAACCAAGCGTGTAATATGATTTTTATGAGTTATGTTTATTAACTATGAGTTGGAGGGTTGATTGGGTAACATTGTTTACCGTCAATGAAATAAGTCGTTCCAAATTTTCTCCGTAGCTCTTTTTCAAACAGGCCTCGCAATTCTTCAGCATCTCCTCTGTAAAATTAATAATAACCTCCATGGTGGTAAAACTGAAATTCAACCGATGACACCTTCTTTTAGCATCCTAGCGACTTTCATAATACAAAACAATGTTTGTCGCTATGACGTCAAACAGAATAGTTTATGCAGGGAGAAACGTGGTCTCTTTGTTACTGATTCAAAAGGAATCACGTGGTAAAAAATGCACTAATTAGATTCATGTTAAATCACCAGCATTAGGAAGGTCTTTGATGCTCTTCAACTGCAAATAACACCAGACAATATCCAGGCACAAAATTGCATAGTTATCAACGGCGTTCAACACTTCAGAACGGCATTGCCTTCAGAAGAAAAATGGAACGTGCGAGTTAATTTTTGCACATTTTACATCTTTAACTATAACACTAAAAATAACTAATTTTTATCCACACATACAAGAAGTTAAAAGTCACGAGACTTAAGATTAACTATGTGGCTGTTTAAGTGGAAAGCAACAAACCTAAATTCTTCATCAGCTCCCAGCAGTAATGGCAAAGCCTCGGCATATTGTCTCTTTTCTGCAACCCTTCGACCTTGTTCGTGTAAAGTCATTGCAAGAACCAACGACTAAAGCAAAAATCGTCAAGGATTTAAAATGCAATGCATTTAGAACAAGGAAAAATCAGTCTTGTTTACTACCAAAGCTTGTGAATTTTAGAATGATCGAGTTCGATCTTTTGCTTTACAGACATCTACACTGAAATCTACACAACTATAAGCTAAAGAGCATTCAAACAAGAGTAAATTTATCTTCTCATTGTGCTGGGTTTAGTTTAAGAAGATTGGAAGCTAACCTTCCGTTCTGCATCAGGTAACGTTAGCGGCTTTCCATTTTGATCGCTAATTTCAAAGAAGTAATCCTCAAAAGGTCCTTCGCCACCTGAAGGAAATAAATTTTTTTTGCAAACAGCACAAGAGACGTTGTCACATTGGTAGAAATATGACTTCAAGACGAAATCCGATGACCACAGTATGTTAAATTGTATACATTTTTTTTAACAACAAATCCCTGTTACAGGGTGCAATTTTGCCACTTGCGAAGCAATTCTACTTTTGAGAGATATAAATTTGGAGACTGCGAAACATCAAACAATTTTACATCTCTTAAAAGTAAAACTGCAAGAAAATTAAAGTTTCTACCTCGCTTTTTATTAGCCAGAACACTCGCGGCGTGTCTCGTTCTTGAAACTGAACTTGATTCAACTTCTTGCTGCGATCTTTTTCCCTTTTTCTCAGAACTGATCATCACCATGACGACGCTATTGTTACGAACACCTTGGTCCTCGAGCGACATTCCTGAGGAAAGCAGGAAAGTGATTCATGTCGGATTTCTTTAGTTTCTGACATTTCAGTTTTCAGGGGTGGGACATATTCGCTTAAGCGGAATTTCAGTTGCGCGAGCCAAGCTTGCATTCAATAAGCGAAGGATCTGTCTTACTGAGCAGTGAACTCTAATACAACTGGAATGATAACCACATTATAAAGCCCAGTTATTGCGTAAAACCAACTTTAATCTTATTTCTAATTGTAGGAGGCGGGAGGGGGGGGGGGCGCACGCCCCGATGGATTTAGTTCTGCAAGCTTGCACTTACAAAAGAAATCCGTCGGGCAGAACTAAATATACGAATAAACACCCCCCGCGTTATCCAGCTTTCGAAAACTATTTGGACAAATCGGGAACGGTAATAGAGTAATTAAGGTTATCGACCAACAGAAAAGTAAAGAATATAGAATATCTACCATCGGCGAGCAGTTTTCCATTGCAAATCAACCTGACATCACCATGATTTTCTGGCAAGCCAAACTTCTCACTAACTTTCCGATATAATGTTTGTCGATCGACATTCAAGCCAGTCTCAAGTGTTGAATCACGCGTGCTACCACTTGATTTTCCTATCAACTTCAGTTTGATTGTTGCAACACCGCTGGCTTTAAACTTTCTATTTGCGGCAAGTTTTCGCACCGCGTTTTCCCTGAGGTTCTCAAGAGTGCTGGCAACGACATCGGCTGAGATTTGAAACAGAGATGAATATCTTTCGACAAGATCCTATTGTCGGAAGATATTAAAATTAGCTAACCTTAATAAACAATAAAATTGAACACTGAGACACGTACGCTAGTTACACATGCTCCGTTAATTATATGTTAATGCGTGGTGTGATTAGACTAGGGATGGGTCGATACGGATACCAAACTGATAAAAGATACTATTGATAATCGGGCTTCAAAGCAAAGTATCCATAATGGTAATGGTTTCGCTTTTATTGCTGATCCTGAGCCTGCAATGTTATTGCACTTTGGTCAGCGGTCTCGTAGCGAAAATATGTGAAAACAAATGAAGAACAGGGTTTAAAGTTTTTGTGATCACTGACAGCATGGAAAATAAAGTATGTGGCCTGCATGTTCACCCTTTTTAATTTATGATTTACATAAAAGTAACCTTTTGTTATTGTAGCCTTGTGGTTATAAATCCAATTGCAGCCTTGTGGGTAGCCTTGTGTAATAAGTTTGAAAAATATTATGTTTTCCCAATTTTGCTGGAATAAAAGAAGGCCAAACATGTTTTGTATAGAATAATGATGCTATTTAAAAGTTCTTTTCAGTGCAAAAATTAAAAATTAGAAATTTCACAAATTTAGCTAACAAGGCAACATTCACAAATTCCAAAGGAATTTGTCAATAAATTGCTGTTTTTGTATTAATAAAGCAAAAAAAACCAGTTTATTAGAGGATATGACCACCTTAAAGAGGCATTTCTGTATACATACAAGGAATCGATAACATGATCGTTAACCTGTTTATTGTTATTGCTTGGTGGCTTTGTTTTCTTATAGATGATGCTGCCATTGTGTCAAGATGAATGGCTATTTGAAAGCAGCTCAGAGTGCCCCAGAAATTCCTCTTCTCCCAAAATACAATTCCTATATAGGAATTCTAGAAACGTTTCTATATAATTTTCACAAATTAAATCTGTACACATATTCCCATATATGATATACACTCCTATATATCACCCTGCCACAATAACAAAGCTATTTGAACAGAAATTCTCATTCAAACATAAATCACCCAGCATGACTTTTGTAAAGTTTATTTACACAACTGTGAAGTCTGAATCGGGAAACATCTGTCCTGTCTGCTGCACATGTACACTTGTTTTACATATAACTGCGATCTACAATATGGTTCAAGTTTAGCTGCTTTTTTTTAAAATTCACTACAAGGCATTCTCATAGGCACAACTCATCCTTTCACAGAATTTACAGAAGCAACAAATGTGGCAGTACCAAATTGCATTCAAGAATTTAATGTTGTTATATTGGTATCTTAGTATAACACCAATTAGCTTTATCGATTTGCTAACAGGGATTATCCCCAGCTTTCCAAAGCTCAGATGTTTTATATATAGCTGTGAGAGTTGGTGGTGTCACTAAATCTTTATTTTCTCCTGCAGGGAGATCTTGCTATCTCCCTTTGTACACTTGTCCACCTGAAGTCAGGGTCCTTGCTATGCCCTTGTCAATAAGGTTTAACTTGTATTTTTTATACAATTCAAAATTACCAAACAAAGTGTGAGTTTTAACTTTTCATTAAATGTGGTAGAATTACAACTGACTAAAATGCTCAAACTTTTATATGTTCCAGCTCAAAAGCTTAAGCTAAAACTTTAATGTCAACCAGTCCTTTTGTCTATTTAGTTATAGTCATGAAATATTTATTGATGTTGTTTTCCAAGTACTTTGATGAAGACTATCTTAGAATGTCTTTAATAATTCTTTAATATTTCGGGTCTATATCTTTAGATGTCTAGTGTAAACAAGCCTAATTTCTTCAGCTTGGATGTTTGGACTTGGGGAAAACAGTTACATGCTTTCAAAACCGTATTAAACATAGAATTTAGTAGGGGTACAGACTGGGTACTAAAGTACTGGGCCGGTCATGAATCGTGGGAATAGCCAAAACAATAAAATATAGCATAGCTAGCATACATTACCAAAGGAAATTGTCCAACTTCGCCCGTTATTTCTTCCGTATAAGGCTCCAACCACAGCTGAATACCCTCCTTCTTCAGCTGAGCAGCAACTAGCTCCTTTACTAATTCAAAATTTCCTGAAGATTGTTCAATATTTGAGCTCGACGCTCCAGAATCAGACGCCATTTTGAAAATATTGTTTCGATAATATTATGCCCTGTCAGCAAAATAAATTGGCCAATCACAGATGGCAAAAAACACAGAGACAAGACGTCACTCTTTTGTTTTTGTTCATATCTTGCATTTTGAGATGACATTATTTTGAGGAACTCCAGAAGATGCGAAATTGTCTCTTTTCTGTCCTTACAAGTCATTACAAGAACCAACGACTATAGCAAAATTCATTAAGGATTTAGGGTAATTCCGCAGTAATTGTTCCCTAAATTTGCTGAAACTTTCCAGGGTTCTACGGTTTATGACATGTACAAAGTAAAAACACAAAGGAAAGTTGGGGTCACCGATTCGTTTAGAAGATTTGACAAGTACAATTCATCACGTTTTTCCAATATGGCGCCATTTTTATCTTATTTCGATTTAACGCGAGAACAAGGCTTGCGCTCTTGGCTCCTGAGCCTCGTTCTCGTGTTATGCGGCTTATTTCCACATTAATTGGTCAAAATAAAAAAATCTTTTTCATGCATGTGTGGAACAAGGATGTTTTTACTCTCACGAGCCACGTGCAAAGATGTAAAACATCCTTGTGAGAGAGAAATCCATTTCATTTAAGGTGGTTCTAAATTCAAAACGTTGTGACGTGTTACCGAAAAGGTCTATTGAACCACCGCCTAGTTAGGTTATACATTCAAATGTAGTATTTGCATGGGAGCTATAATTATGGCACTTAAAAAGGAATGCGTGAGGTAGAGTAAATAATCCAGAGTTTCATTATTCGTTATCATATTAATTAAAATGTTTACATTTTCAGTGTACGTGGTTACATGAAATGTAACTATATCTATGCAACTATTTATGTGCATATTTTGCTTAAGAAACTATTTATCGATATTCTACTACATTCTTGGACCCGTTAAGACATCTGATGCATACGAATAAAATTCTTTTATCACTGAAGAATTGTAATGCCTCTCTAAAATCTCGTTTCCCAAGCTCAATGTTGTTATTAACAAATAGATTACAATGAACCGTTGTCTGTTCAGTTATAGATACACGGTATGACGTCATATGTGATAAGAACAAAAAAAATTGGCCACGAGCCGCCGGGGCGAGTGGTCACTCTTTTGTTCTTATCACATATAGCGTCATACCGTGTATCTATAACTGAACAGACAACGGTTCATTGTAATCTATTTGTTTTATATAATAAAACTGAAAAAAATCCAAAATTAATTGAATTATTTGTTTGCAATTTAAAAACAAGAAAATTGCTGTGACGTCATTCCGTGCGTCTGTCCTCTTATAGATCATGGCTCTCGACCAATGAAATTGCTTGAATTCTTTACGTTATTATATAATCATATATAGTGAATGACCAAAAGTTTTTCATCGCGTTTTACAACATTAAACTGGGGAAAGCGAGTATAATTCTCATATAATTTTTTTTGTGATTTAACTTTGCACTTTCAGTAGAATATGTCTCAAACATTTTGTCCAAGATTGTAGCTCCCCATGCAACTCTATGTAAAATAACTACACAAGACTAGGTATAAATAGCTAAAATGAGTTAATGACTTATGAAGATATGATCGATTACAATGATTCTTGAAAACTATATAAAAACGTTTAAATCTAGAGGCATGACTAAAGCTAAAAGCAGCCTATGTTAAAATAAGATATGCTAAAATATATACATATGTTGCATTTTGTTGTTTTCTTTAGCAAATATTTGAGATTTGAGAAATCGACGTTTGTCTGTTGGGTAGCATTTTTATGTGTTTTCTTTTCGTTATTAGAATTTGCCATCACATTTTTCGTCCGAAATTATTCGAGAATTGGACAATTTGCATGCAAGAAACGAAACTTAAGAAAATATAATTTTGAACTGAATTTTGATTCAAAGGCTTTCTCGCAGAACTACCGAGTGACGAGAATTGGGATTGAGAAACAAATGAAAGAAAAAGTTAATCAGGACTATCTAGCTTTAAGGCAAAATACCACAACAAACTAAAACACTTAATATCCTTTTTTATTCTCCTTTTTTAACGTACACAAAAAAGTGGAAGTTTGGAGTGCCACATTTCAGACTAGCGTTGCGACTTTGTGACCTCGATCGTCAATCGTTCTTGCATGATTAACACAATTCTACCCCGCGATATTTTTCAAAGCAGTATGGCTAATTTTTGTTTCCAAATTGAACTGAAAAGTGTGAGTCCTCAAACCATCTGGGTTCAAACAATTCCATTTGGCAACTTTGGATTCCGATAACTGAAAGTTAATCTTCTTTGTATCATTCACATGTAGTATTCAAGTATAAGGTTCGTTCCCAATGTCTCATAATAGATTTGGGTTACACTCGTTTGCCATAACGGATGTGTTTTCACTATATACTTCCCAGACAAAAGGCAAATATTTGTAGACTCTTCCCGGATTGAATATTTTCAGTTTTCATCTCGTTCTGTTCGTTCTGTTCTGTTATCTCTTCTGTATAATTCCTTTGAAGTCAGCTACATATTAGCTCCTTTGTTTTTGTGATGTCCCTTGCAACACATACTTTATCATCTTTCGAACGCATTCAATATATCAATTAGAAACGTATTTCTGCCAAAAGTTCTAACGTTGTCCATCCACAATTGTTGTGTCCATGCCACATTTTAGGTTGCCATAGCGCAGCTGCAATAATCTTCATTTACAGGATTTTATGGAATACAAGTGTTTAGTAGTTTGTTGTTGATGTAAGAATAATCCCTCACCGCAATGCAGCAATTTTTTTAATCGTTTGCCTTCAGTTTTGTAATGAGTATGATGATATAGCTATATTTGCATGTAAAACTTGTTTCAGTAGTAATTAAATGTTTTGACGGAAACACGTGACGGCAAATTCAGCGGTTGATTTGAAATTGAATACAAACGCAAAATCGATCAAATGTTTTAAACCTAAATGCAACACAAATTTCAACATACCAAAACTCGAAACAATGCAATACTGTTCACTTAACTCAGATAAAACAGTTTACGAAATACAAAATTAGTATACAAGTGGATTTATATATACAGGAATTTGTTCCCCAACAAATGTACACTGATACAACACATTATCAATGCTTAGTGTACTACTTAATGTGCTTTAAAAGCTTAACTTGAATATTTGAAGTATATGAAGTATACTCAAGCAGAAATTTAAACATATTTAGGATATTGAAATACGTTTATATGGGTGAGTATTTAATTCTTTTGTCTGATTTCGATGATTTAATAAACGTGTTAGGCTTATTTTTTAAGATTACTTTTTAAAAAACTAGTTTGATTATAATATCTATTAATGTTTTAGTTATATTATGAGTTCATTTGTGATGTGGCTTTACTTATACTTTATATTTTTAGTATCATACAAATGACTGCTAAGCTATTTATGGGTTAAATAGAATTTGAGAATTAATTAACTTACGTAAAAATATAAAACCTATGGGTCTGGAAATGATATGTTTTTCAATAATGACTACAACTATTCAGGTGCACATTTTTATATGGAAGCATAGAAACAAGATAGTGCACTTTTAGTGCAAGAGATTTAATGAATTCAACATACTTCTCTTTACAAACCCTTAAATTTTCACTTAACTTGCATTACAGACATTCATATTCAATTTTTAACTAATTTGTACTCCTTTTGCAGGTCCTCCTTAACTTTTTCGAATGTGTGACCTTTCCAGTGTGAAGGGAATTCAGGTTCCTTGACTTTGTAATGATCCGCCAAATCTTTTGAAAAGGTTGCCATGAACCACTGCCAATATGTGGATGATTCAAACGATGAATCATCGGGAATATTCCAGGATTTATAATATTCATTGACTGACCGATAATCCTTGTAATTATGCCATTTATAATCGGTATCTACGTTGAAAAATATCATTCCGGCATTTGCGACACTGTTTGGACAGATGGAATGACTCAATATTTTCGTTTTGTGGTCGTTGTAACCGCTAATTCCTTTTGGACGATGAATGCTTGTATAGTGATCACCAATATGATTTTTGTCGGTGTGATCACATAACCCTTTACAGAATGGACAGAATTTCTCACAGCCGAACATCGACGTTAACAAATACTCATCCGGGGATGGTTTCCAATTTTGAAAAATTTCCTCATTCACACCGTCCGTGCTCAGGCCTTCAAACAAAAGTTTTGCTTTTTCGTCGATACTGCTCTTGAATAGGTCAACATACTCCGGGTCGTCATAAATTGTAACCACTGCAAACATGTCTTTCGTGATTGGTAGGGAAGAACATTTTTCCACAAATTTCTGAATCCAAACTGTCAGGTTCTTGTCTTTAGTATTTGTTTCCTCGTCGGCAAATGAAATAGCACTGGACACATTACATTTAATATCTTCCACCGCTTTTTTGAGAAGAAGATTGACAAAGGCGTTTCCTCCATTTAGACAGTAGTCTTTAATTGTTGATGTTAATGTCTCCTTAAGAAATTCTGTTGGATTTTCAAGGTAAGGAATATACCGTTCAAACTTTCCCTCCTCTCCAAGTTCAATAAGAACGCTGGCGTGAAATTGACCTTTACTCATGAACATATCATTTTGATGTTTCACCTCATCATTAGATTGTTTTTCACTTTTGAACATGGTCTCTCGCACTATTTCAGCATTAGATTGATCCTCATTCGTGAGCACGCTATCTTCTATTATTTGTTTTGCCACTGCCTGACCCATCCACTGGTTTAGGTGTGACTTAATTGGAGCTTTAAGTATATCAACGAATGAAGTAGCAGCCAGCACTCCTTTTTCCATCGTCTCGCAAAGATTTAGAAAACGTGATTCTAAGCTTGGTCGCAGGGTTTTTTCTAGGTTTTCTCTAATATTTCTTTCGTGTAGATAACTTTCTTGCATTTCTTCAAATATTTTATAGGTTAGCCCAAATACGTGGAGCAATATATTACACTTCAAATCATTAGAAAATTTAATGGAATAATTCTTGGACTCTTTCTCAATGATGGAAGTAACATTGTGGTACAATTGTGTGAAATCATTTAGTGTACATTTATTTCCTGATCGTGATGCAGTATTAGCAAAACTAAGTGCCTCTTTGATTGCTTTATTCCGAATTATTCTGGCTGACGGAATCTTTTTCTCCTGTTTTCCAATTTGTTCGACATAAATCTTGGGAGCTTCTTTTTCAAAATTTGATAGAGACAAGCCTTTCAGGTCGTCTAATTTTTCAGACATTTCAGTTTTCAGGTGAGCGTCGGTCTCACGGAGAACATTCTTCATTTCGTGCTCGACATGAATTTTATTTTCCTGGAAAGGTGGAACGCATTGAATCCACTTCTGCCATTCTTGATCAAATGCTTCTTTACATTTTTCGATATCCTCCGTATTTTTGGCTGAAGTTATAAATTCTCTTGCTTTGTTAATAAGTTCACTTTCGTAAATCTTTTGCTTTTCCTTGACATCTTGTAGATTCCGCACATGATCAAATGTTGCTTTGCAATCTTTACTAACTTCCATCACTTGAATATCCTTTTCCTGCTCTATTTTATTCATGATGACTTCTCTCCACTGTTCGAGAATTGCGTTATCTTCACTGGTTTCAATGAAATTTTTCATTTCTTTTTTCATTTTAGCCGCAAAGTTTCCTGCTTCACGATTAATACCTTTTTCCAGTTTGAGCCATTTATTTGTAAGTTCTTCATTGGTCGTACATCTTTTTAGAGCTACTTCTATCCTATTTTCCAGTTGTTTCATTCCAATCACCATCACATTCACTGACTCCTGAAAATATTTCCGGTCTAACGAGGTATAGGCTCTTACTTCGATCGTATTACGGAAGGTAAAGATAAAGTCCTCCTTCAACATTGCTCTCCATAGGGTGCACACCCTGTCGCGAAAGTGAGAAATGGAATATCGAAATATTTCTTTCGAACACATCAACGATACGATGTTTTCTTTAACTTCTTGAACAGCTCTGCCATATTCCGGGTTGACTGGAGCCATTGGTGGACTACCTGTTAAAAGACCTGGAATGTAGAATACATCTTCGCTTTCATTAAATGAAATAATATCATTTAGCTTGCGAAATTTGTGGTCACAATTTTCTTCCCTGGCAGCAAGCTTCGTCATTTCATCAAGATCTTTTTTCAGGTTAGAGCGTTCAACAATCAATTGATCAGTCGCATCGGTGGCTACAACATTCTGATGAACAATTTTACATGTTTTCTTCTCATTGACAAGTTTCATCTTCAAAAATGCATGTACGGCTATCTCCAAGAATTCTTTCATTTCATTATGATTCGCACCTAAGATATTTACTATGGTTAAATCTGAAACGCCAATTGTAAAAGTTGCCAATTCATTGTCGTGCTCGCGCAATTGAGGATCTGCGGATCCTCTTAGGCCTTCAGTATCGATGATCAATACATAAGAAAACTTTGAAGCGGACTTCAGTGAGTCACTAAGAGGTAATAGACTAGCAAAAGCGCTGCGTGTACATCTACCAGCACTGACAGGAAATTCTAATCCAAACATTGTGTTCAATAGGGTTGACTTACCTGAACTTTGAATTCCTAAAACGGAAATGACAAATAATTTCGCGTTGTTTGTTTTACGTTGTAATTTAGTATAAACAGCGTTAAACCACGACAGTGGAACGTACGACGAGTCGCCATCTAGTAACTCGATAGGTTGTCCTGAAAGCAACATTTCTGCTGCAGCACCTGCATAGTCATAATCGCTAATTCCAAGTTGGTGTAACTGCGCAATTTCTCTAATGATGTGTTCTAAGCCAAATGAAAATTCTGATAGTTGTGCCTCGATATTTTTCAAATCATCCTGATTGGGTGATTGGGCATCTGACATTTGAAGTGTCTTCGTTTTCTCTTTCTGACGCGAAACATGATGCTCTTGATGTAATTTTGCCATATCCGCTAGTGACATCTTGTCTAATTGGTGTTTAAAGCCACTCAAGACGCGATTTCGCTCTGTTTGATCCATTTTCGTTAAACTATTGAGAAATTTAACAATTTTTTCGTCTAGCTTCTTAAAAGATTCTCTTTGAGCTCCTTTTTCAGCTTCTATATCTTCATATATTTCATTCATGATTTCCTCTCTTGTGTGGTCGCTTTTAGACTTGCTCGCGCGAAGCTTTGGGGAATACTTTTCCCGTTCTAAAACTGCCAACGCTGGAACGTACTTTTGTAGTGCTAGAAGATCTTTTGCCTCTTTGATCCCCTGGTGTAGCCAAGAGTCAACGATCGCATCAACTTCTCTGTGCTGGTGATTGCCGTCAACGAAAATGCCAAATTTACCAGCAATGTTTGCAAGTTCCGCAAGTGGCGTTCCTTTGACTTGGTGCAAACTCTGTTGAATACATTCTCGTATACTTTGCAAAAACTCGAATTTATTTTCTTTGTCAGATTTCGTTATGAAGGAAAAGGTACCAGGATATTTTCTTTCTAAGTCATTGAAATAATCACTTGTACATGGTTCTTTGAAGATGAGAATGATTTTTGCTTCAGATTTCACGGCTTCATTCATGACTTCGGTCACAGTCATTTCGGGATCTCCGGAAGGTAGCAGTAGACATAGCACATATGAAAACTTCAACAGGATATTGAACTGCTTTTTAAAATATCTAACGTCTCCTCGCAAATTTGCAAAACAAATCTCATTCTTCAATGTTTGCTCAATCTTTTTTGCTGCGGGAAGAAACCAGCTCAATTCAACTAATCCATCGACGGTTTTCCTCTTGTAGTGGCCACCTTTCATACCTCTCTGGAAAAAGTAGTCATGATAACCAATAGCATCACTCATCACTTTGTTCATCAAGGATGACTTCGACATAGTTTGGCCAATACGTAGGAAAGAAACCACGGGAAAAGGATATTCCGTTGCAAACGCGTTTTCATTCTTTTGGTTACTATCCTTCCAAGTTTTGGTTATGCCTTTCAAAGCTGAGAGCAGAATTGTAACGTTTTGAGAAGGCGCTGTAGGGTCAGGCAAAAGAAATGGAACGCTTAATTGGCAGGCTGCCAATTTAATCGCAAGGTATTCTCGTAAATACTCATCGGAAGAATGAAAAACCTCAAGCATTGCATCCATCGGATTAATATCTACCGTAACTACCTTACCTTCAGGATAATAAAAATGAGAAATTTCTTTCGTTTTATCTTTATCTGAATTTAAAGGCTCTAATTTAAATTCTCGTGCATGATAATCAGCTATCATTAATTTTTTTAGAATGTAATCTGGTACTTGTTCCGGGAACATTAATTTAGTATCGGTTAATGTATCATTATCAACCCTTCGTATGTTTTTCATAGAATACTTCGAACTTTTACCTAGTTTAAAATCACTGCCAGAAATTGGCGGCGCTTTTTTACCACTAATGTTTTTATCCTGATCGTTTGTGAATTCAACCACACTAGTTGCTTTTATACCTTCTTTGCATTTATCTGCTTCTTCGTCTTTATTTATCCTTCCCTCCCTACCTTTGAATGAATGCTTTTTAAGGTAATCTTCGTTAGAGTGGCGTTCTTTTTCTGCTATGAAAAGAAAATTAAAATAGATTGGTTATATTTTTCCTTGGTACCAAGCAAAACATTTTGCGCGGGGATGTAGGGTTTGTTTCATAAAAAATTCTTTGTATTTGCTTGTTCAAGATACATCAAACTAATGACGCGAAAGCGGGCAGCCCAAAAGAGAGGGCAAAAGAAACAATTTTCCCCGGGAAAAAAAATGTTCTCTTTCTTTTGTTCGTGAACCTCTTTATATGATATAATAAAGCAGTTCATGCTGATACCTTCAATTGCTTCTTCTTCTTTAGCTCGTGGTGGAGGATAATCGGTTCTTCTGTCTTCTGCACTTCCTTTTGTACCGTAATTAAATATACGAAAAAGTATTTCAGATTATCAAATATTAGATGACGTGATAACATCTTATCAAATATATATGCAGCGATAGTTCTCTTACACTGTACCTTCCCCAGGTTCATCTTCAATTTTGTGCTTTGGTTCTTTCATATCACTAGTAAACGCAAAACATGAATCTGATAAGGGCTTAGTAAATGTGGTTTTATATAAAACAAACCTGTAGTAGAGTTTGAGGAGTGCATAAACAAATACAGATATAAAAATTCGTATGTATAAAAAGCTTATAATATTTTTGTACATTTGCATAGCTATCTAATACAAATCAAAATATAAATAGACCTTTGAGGTACTTAATTACGCCACACAGTTTTCAATCTTTGTATAAATGGGGTTAATTTCTCCTACATATTTCCCATGTTGCATTGTAATTTATTGTTCGACAGTCCCTTGACGTAAACACCTCTAAGGTCTATTGTCATTGATAAAAAATGATAATTTTTACCTCAACGCTGCCGCTTTCTCTTCTACTTCTTCGATATTCTCAATATTAACCACCAATCCCTCTGTTTGAATTCCAATAAATGAAAATTCCATTTGCAAACGTTGTTTCATTTTACCAGAGTTGAAATCATCTAAAACCTCGAGGAATCTTATATCTGTGAAACAACGCAGTAAGACATACAAACATTTAGGTTGAATGTCCCGAACTTCTTGATCGTTTAAGCCAAGGGCTTGATTAACCGCTGAATATATTTTTTCCACATTTGATTCTTTCTTGAATATTTCATGCAGTGAGCTTGCAGACCCTGAGGGTATGGATGCACCGCTAAGATTTATCCGCTCGGTGTCGATAATAATCTTGAAATCACCACCACAATCTGTAGAATAATGCACCTCAGGGACAACACTCAGTGATGAATTTCCACCCTCACACTGTGATTCTGCCATTACACAATGTTCTCTAATTAATGAAAAAAAAAGCAATGCACGGATTCAAATAGGGTTTAAATTTTTGTCTAGTTTTACTCGCCATTTCGTTGTTTTTATAAAAAAATCTATATTTGAAAAATTGTTTGTATATTAAAATCGGAACTTGGTAAAGCTCCGGGTCCTAAACGTAGTGTTGCTCTGGCGCCGAGGGCATAAGTTAATGACTATAACTAATTAGTATATTTTCAGTATTGAAAAATGGCCTTTGAGCATTCTGATTGGCTCCCTCAGGCTCGGTGATTACAAGCCTATATTCACTTCGCCTTCGGCTCAGTAAATATAGGCTTATAATCACCTCGCCTTCGGCGACTAATTGTTAAATAGTGCCAAATTAGCCGTTTCTAAATCGAGCAGGGTACTGGGTCTAGTCGCGTGCCGCAAAGCGTCTATGGAATGCTTGGAAAGGCAAATGATTTCAGACCTAAATTTCCTGTCCCTCCAAACAGTCCATATATGCTTTGCGGTTCGCGACTAGACCCGGTCCCTTGCTCGATTGGGAAATGGCTAATTGGTTGACTTGTTTTTTATTATTCTTGTGGCCTGTTACGGAAAGGTTTTTACATATTCGAACCACATGTTGATTTCGTTTTTGTCGTTTTGTTCACATTTTTCACAGAGGGCCAGATGAGAAATACCTGTGAAATGCCTCTTGTTCAGATTGCTTTAAAGCCGGTTTTCCACTAGGCGAATTTTTTCGATCGAACGAAACTTTTCGCTTGATTTTCTTTTCAATTGTGAGAAATCGACCGTGGCGGATGCCCTTGACCGGTCACAAATGAAAAGAAAATCGAGAGAAAAATTTCGTTCGATCGAAAAATATTGCGTAGTGGAAAACCAGCTTAAGCCGCGATTCTCCATTATGTTCGCTCTGCCCGCGCTTTGTTTTTCAGGCCTGCCACGGTCGCATGGGCAGATTTTCAAATGTGTAATGGAATCGAAAACTAAAGACAATTGAGTGCTGTTTAGAACACATTGAAGAAAATTAATGTTTACCTCGCGTTTATAGCTGCTGCCCTTTCTTCTACCTCTTGGATATTCTCAATATTCACCTTCAATCCTTCTAATATGATTCCAGCAAAATGAAATTCCAACTTTAAACGTGCTTCCATTCGTCCAGTTTTAAAATCGTCCAAAACTGCAAGAAATCGTTTGTCGGTGGAAGGACGCAGCAGGAAATGCAGACCGCTTGGTTGAATATCCTGGGCATTTGCATCATCTTCTTTGACACCAATGCCCCTACACAACACTCCATCAATTATTTTTGAACCTAATTTGTAGAACAGATACATTCCGCAGAGCTTCACTATCGTTGGAGACCCCTTTATTATTACGTCGCCGATTGTCGCCCTTTCTGCGTCGATGGCGATATTAAAACCCCAACCAGAAGCTGTAGCACGGATTGCCTCATGGGCACCAGCCCAGGCTGCCTTTCCAACATCAGAAACAGATCCTGCCATTAAAAAGCCTTCCCTAACGAACAAAAACAAAATTGGGATGGTATGATCTATATTAAAGGTCTTGTATATAAGATGAGCGATAGAGTATTTAAAGTCGGTATACGTTTTCAGATGGGAGAAACTGCTGCTGCGTTACATGCGTGACTTTGGAGAGCTTAGGATTCACGACGACGCCAGGGAACACGCGTTAAGGCGATTATCCATTACGTCCGCTCCGCTTTGTTATTCAGGCCCGTGACGTTCGCTTGAGCAGATTTTGAAAGGCCGAATGTAATGAAAATTCCTTAGTTTAAGGGCTGTTTATATGGAAGCCGGGCACAGCCCGGCTAGCGAGATCTCGCCACTAATACATTTCCCTAATAAAAACTTCTCTGCGTTTAAATATGGGCTGGCGGGCTGACCCGCTTGGAGAGATCCTCGAAAAAGGCGAGATCTCGCTTAGCGGGATGAAAAATATTTTCATATAAACACTCCAAGCGCGCTGGCCCGGTTGCCGAGGTGGAAACAATTTTTATAATTTTTGATGTTTCTCAGCGTTTCTTTTTATTTTGAACACTACATGAATAACGCTCGCCTGCACTGTTTGTCTAGAATAAGGCTAAACTCCGTATGAAAGGTATCTGTATGAAGCACAAATTACCGATCTTTTTATTACAAATTACAAGGCTAAAATCCGCGTTGGAAGGTAGTATTAAGCACAAACTTCAGATATTAGTTGTGACCTCAGAATTACTGGCCAAAACTGGCCTCGGAATTACATTAGTTTTATTTGTGACCAATATTTCTTCCGTTTCTCGCAATCCGCGCACGTGATATCAACAGGTAAGTTAACGGACCAGGCAAAAGTCCCTGCTTTAAGCCGGGCGCACACACAACGATTTTACGGTAGTTCCATTCAGGTTTAGACATGTAGGCCGCCCTTGCCCTGACATGTTTTCCTTCTCGCGGCGCGCGTGTACGCGAGTCTACTTGGTCTAATATTTTGACCAAGTATAGATCGCCAGTCGCCACATTTTGATGAAAACATCCATCTAGACAATCTAGACAGGAATCGGCCGACTAAAATCGTCGTGTGTGCGCCTAGCTTTATGAAATAAACAAGATTGGATTTTTATATCTACACAAAAAAGGATTATGCATCAAACAACGAAAAGGTATGTACATAAATCTTATAGGTAGGTCTCTTTATTATTGTATAAATGTGTACCAAATGGCACTGAATAGTCACAATGCATATCGATGACTTATATTTATGATGATTCCTCTGATGTAAAGCCATAATATTTAAAAATATAGCATCTTAACATTGACCTAATCATTATGCTAATTAGCTTAACATTCATTTTATCATTTGATAATTTTGAACAAAATTCCCATTATTTTTGTGTAAATGTGTACTAAATGTCACCATATAGTCACAAGACATATCGATGAGCTATATTCATGATGAATCTTCTGATGCAAAGCCATAATATTTAAAAAATATAACATCTTAACATTGACCTTATCATTATGCTAATTAGCTTAACATTCACCTTATCGAGATTCGATCTGCTGATATTTTGAAAAAAGTAGGGATCTCTAACCTTCAAGCCAGACGAGATCACCAATTAGCGCTTCTCATGTTTAAAGTTAAAATTAAAATGACTCCAAATTACCTGACTGAAATCTTTACTAATACCAATGCTATACATACCCATAATACAAGAAATAGCGAATACAATTTCGCATTACCTAAGCCTAAAACAAACAGCATGAAAAAGGCTTTCGCCTATAGGGGAGC